TCCATCACGTAGTCTCGGGCTGTCCTATCTTGGCAGAAAGAGAATACTTAAATCGGCATAATCTAGTTGCAGCACATCTACACTGGAATATATGTAATGACTCTAATATATCAGTCGCGCCCAGGTGGTATGAACATCGTCCAAGCCCAGTTGTAGACAATTCCGACGTTACAATTATATGGGACACGCAGGTGCATACAGATAGGTCCATCAACGCTAACAAACCTGATATTATAGTCAAAGACAAGAAACTCAAAAGGTGTCTACTGATTGATGTAGCTATCCCATTGGACTACAATATCACAAAGAAGGAGGCTGAAAAACGGCTAAAGTACAAAGACCCCCAAATTGAGACGCAAAGATTGTGGAATATGAAGACGTTCATAATACCAGTAGTGATAGAAGCCACTTGACTTTTATCTCACAAAACGTGTGAAGCCATTGAACAAATCCCAGGAAAACATAACCTTCTCGTGTTACAGAAAACAGTTGTGTTGAGCACCGCCCATATAGTGAGAAGAGTAATATAGTATGTGGAAGCACCCTAGGCGCACGGTGTGCGCTCGGTGTTTTTACCAAATGCACCACAGTATAGCATAGCTGTGTGAAAACAGGACATTAATAATAATAATACTTAGAGTTGGGAACATCTACTTCCATTAGGCTTGTGGTCCTCTTTGCAAATTATCTAAGAAGTACCATGTCATGAATTTAATGACAGAACTGTGTTGACTTATGATGAGTGTAGTTTGATTCAAACAAACAAATCCTTGACTGGTCTGAGTACGTTTTGTACAGTTAAATTAAACAGGGCGCGGTGTGCAAGTAGATGTGAATCTGGTGATCGCCACCTACTACCAATGGTTTGCCAAGCAGATATTTTCATTTATCCTTCCATACGATAAAGATTACACAAAAACGCTACGACTCTGGCTGATAAATCTTCGACGTTTTGGGCTTTGCACAGATAGGTGTTGCACCACCATTACGGTTGCCCCACCAAGGGGTCGCAAGATTACGTATTGACGAAGCTGATCAGCAATTGCTTTCTATACAAGTTTTCCGTCTCTGTAACAATGACCAACCGCAAAAAGCGCTATTTCGTGTTCATTAGCAACTTCATCAGTGTAGTATAGGTCTCAGGTATAGTCTTGGAGACAGATGAACGGAAAGCAAACATGGTATGTTCTTTTGAAAAACTCATAACATTGTGCGCAAGAAAGTGTCTGACTATCGCTACCTCCGAAGCTGACTTTCATTCATCATTCCATACGATAGAGATGACAGAAGAGCGCTAAGTGCCTGGTTCATAGCTCCTCGACATTCTACTCTTTGTAGAGATAGATGTAGCGATAAAATTATGGCCCGTAAATGAGTCGGAAACCAAGTATTCACAAAGCAAATCATGCATAAACGCATAAACAGACCCAAGCTGAAATGAGCATTTAAACTTATGCAGAATGTCTCAACAAAAATAGAAAGCAGTTTTATAGAAAGATAATAAAAAATATTCCCAAACAGTTTTCGTAGCAAGATTGATATCTCATAGGTGTGTATTTCTACATTGTTCGGAAATATACTGAATGTTGTTCAATTTCGTGGAACAGCATATTTGGAAAGAAATTTTCAAAACAAGAAGATTGATTCAATACACCATACGGTTTTGATTGTCATTTCTTTAGCTATTTTATTATTTATCTGTATCTTTGGAGACTCCATCATTTTACGTAGTTTTTCATTGTAGGGTGTTACAAAATACAAGCTATATATACAGGGTGACTTCGAAGTTGAGTCATTTATTTTAACAGTGAGTAGATCTGATCAAAAGAAATGTTTTTTTCCTTTACCATTTTCCTGGTAAAATTAAAGTAACAAAGTTATAGCCCTTTGGAAGTTTGAGTACCGCCCTGTCTCAATAATAATATTATGTGGTCGTGTTTGGCGACAACGGATATAATCCGCCGTATCGGTTCATCGCATCGGAAACAAAAAAGCGAAAGAATTTGGAACGATGCTTTTTACAATTATTTCATTCATTTATATACAGTCAGTGTCAATGAATAGTGGTATCTGTTGCGTGGCTCAAACGAAATAAAAAATGGCACATGTTTATGCGGATCGGTTTCCCAATCGAGTGCAACCAACCCCTCGTGCCTTTGTTAATGTAGTACAACGGGCTCGTGAATCAGGTGACTTAAGACCTCACAGGGGACCTCACGATCAAATACAGGTCCGTACTGAAATACTTGTCGGGAGGATACTTTATAAAACAAGGTAAAATTTTTTTTTTTTATTTTTTTTATTTTTACACACATATTTTGGTTTATCTTCCTTCTACAATCATTACCTGAAAATTAATGACTCAACTTCAAAGTCATAGTTATTTTTCTCAAAAATTTCAGGAGAAACTTCCTGTATGTTTGTTCTCGTCGGCTTGGCCTTTCTAATATGCTTCCTTTCGATATGAGGTTTATAATAGTTTACTTAAACGGTAAACTGCTTATTTCTGAAAACTCTAGAAGATCGTATTATTATCTTCTTAGCTGCCGCATCGTATCCATCCCTAGAATCAATAACTTGCTTCCAGAATTCTTTAATCAGATCAGGCTACATGTATTGTTCATACATGAAAATTTCACTCCCATTACCTAGTTCCTTACCTTGTTTCTCTCAATTAAAACGTGGTCGCTTACTCTGGGACGCCAAAGTTCTACCTAATTTAATTAACTAAATGAAAAAATCAATAAATCATACCAGGAAATCAAATAAGCAGTGGTTAAAGTAAAATGTATCTGAATATAAGAATTGTGATTGAATCTCCAGACACATTGTCAGTAAAATAAGTTATTCAGGAGAGCCATTAACTAAAAAACCATTCAATAGTGTCACTTTGTAGGACTCAGAAAATAGTAAGAAGAAGCTTAGTATTCTCTACAATCTACATAATTCGATTTATATAGAACATCGTTGTCTCTGTGGAAACGGTTACAGATAAACAAAGAAAAACTAAATAATGGTTCCAACAGGGGCTCTTTCATAAACAAATTGAATATTTGTGGAATGTAGTAGCACATAATTGAGATAAGAAGTTATTGTTTTCACTGTAGTGGCTAAATAGATAATCCAACGACTTCCTAAAATTTCTAAAAATAGCCAGATAACTACTCAAATAAAGTAGTATAACCCTTATTTTGAAAGTAAGCTTTTAAGAAGGCGAGTCTCTGTAATAATGAGGGGGTGTTCCATTTGAAATATTTGAGAAAAACAAGGTTCTGCGTCTTGCACCAGTCTATGTAAAGAGATCGCATTGTCGACACTTTCCGTAGTTTAGCTTAAAGTTCTCATAATTCTTCATCTTTTCATTCTAATAATAGAATTGAAACTTACACACAACGCGCGACTCAACGTATAACATTAATTAGTAATTTATTTTGGTAACCAACATTCATTTTTATTTAATGTACTTATTGTATTTATTTTCTGCCATGCACAAGGATATCCTTTTTTGGATTGAAATTTATTCACCATGTTGTATATTAATGTGGATAAATTATTATCGTTATCTTCTCTCTGAAGTTTAATGAAAAATTATACAAAATGGCTGTCAAAGCCTACCAAAATGTGCATTTTTTTTCAGACAAATGACAAAATAACTACACAAATGACGATCAGAGCCCTATAGTCTATTTCATCAATATCTCATAAAATATAAGGTGTTCCATTTGAAAAGCATATGTTTGTTGTGCCACAGGCTATATACTTACAATCAACTTAAAAAGGTACGCCTACTAGATATCAGTATGACTGCGAACACCGTTTTCGAATATCTTTCAAAGCTTCCATGTTCGTTGGGACGCCATGTATACTGTACAGAAATTTTCTGTAATTTACTCAATCTCTGACGTTTAATAACCTGTACCTCAATCGGAAAATAGAGAGCGTTAGAGCATCCGCTGAAGCACCGGAGGTTCAATCACCTTTAGCCTATTTCGCTAGGTCCATGTTTACGCTACCTACCCTGTTGATGATGAAAACATTAAGTTTCGTATTTTGTTTCTGACTAATTACCACTGGTTGTAGATTAATTAATTTATGCTGAACAACCAAGCGTCTAGGAACCTTTCATCGTAAGATGGAATGCATATTTCGTTCATTGTTGATAGTGGCCGGCAACGCTTTATATGTTTCAGTTTGATTAATAGTTTGTGCGGGTTGTGATAGGTTCAGAAAAGCTATCTTTTGTACCTATGGAAAACTGAAGTCTCCATTATTAAGAAGGGACTGGTACTTCCCACTTTATCCAATAATACACAAACATCGATTATGATTCATAGGCGAAGTCACTCTAATTTTCTAACTTTTATACTACATATTTTTAACAACACTGCGTCGTTCCAGACAGCGATCCACAATGCCGTCCAGAAAGAGAGCATTCAACAAGTGGTTTCTCAAAAAAAGGCGAGCAGTTGTTGGAAGAGGAACTCTTATGTCTCGTGTAATTCTCGCATATGCCATCATACAGTAAATCAAACAGTAAAGTTTTTCTAAAGCATCTATTGAGTCAATCATCTTACAATTATCACTTAAAACAATTTTAGTCTAATAGTAAAACATAGAATTATATTTCTAAGTTGAAAGTCATCGAATTGCCAAAGAAGTATTAACGGTTAAACATAAACATGTCATCAGACTTGTAATGATTAAATTGTAACAAAATTATGTTACTGATACAGCAGTCTGTTAAAAGTTTGTTAATTAAAGTTAGACGGACAGATTGTAAAATAAGACGCGAACTACACTCTAAATATGATCCCACTTGTAAGCCAAAATGATTTGAATAAAAATAAATGTAACGCAGGGATGAACTACTTCGCACAACTCACTGGCAGAATCAAAGTAAGTCTCGCTTGCCTACTGCCAATCTTCCTTTATAAGATAGGAATATCTCATAAGCAAGGATGCTGAGGGCTTAGAGGTAATATAAAGCGGCCGTAAACAAGGTTTTTTGAAAGATTTATTTTGTTTCATTTATATTTCTCACCACAACTGCAAGATAAGATCATATTTCTGCGATCAGCTATTAAATGGTGGCGAATACCTGCATCGTTAAGGGTTAATATCTCCACCATTCCGAACCTACAAAATAAAATATGTATCACGCCAAACTGTGGCACCATGGAGACACACTTTGAATTGATAACAACCTGGAAAACATCTGGTGTGGTCATGTCTGGTTCCGAAATGCGTATTTGGATAAAGGAATCCATTGTCTTCGGGTTTCGGCTCGTTACACTTTGATTTGCTTTGCTCGATCATCGTCATCTGTCAATCTGGCAGTCGTGAAACCTTTAACAATTTAGTACAGTTTGCTCCACTTGTATTATACGGAGTACCCCGTTATAAGTTGGCGCCCTTCTGACTTAGAAAAAAGGTTCCCAACAAAAGTTATAGGACCTAGTATAAAGTGCATGCAATGTCTTTTTTGTGTACAAGATGTCTCAGTCTTCAGCTGTCGAATAACGTTTAATTTTTTCTAATGGAACTACTCATATATTTCTAGTTGGCACTAGGGTAAACTCGCAGCTCCGCTCGCGTGGAAGTAATGCATTTTTCCAGATAGTGTGCAGGAGATTGGTTTCGGAAAAAGAAATGCAATATTCACAGTACTACAAAAGATACTTTAGTTAGTAAACATTTTTTATCCAACATTTTAATGCAACAATAAATTAATTTTAGCGTTTCGTTTTTTCATATCCACAAAAAGAAGTTTACTGGAAAATCCATTTTATCTTCAAATGACCTTGAATGTCATAGTCAATGTCATGGACTTATTTGAAGATAGAGCTTCTTGCTCTGTGTCGAACATTACCTCGGTAATAAAAAACGAAGGTTTAAGATTCAACGTAAAAATACCATTCATCTTCTCAAAGTTGATGATCCCTCGCTCGAGTCTTCTGTCTGAATTATGCAGTAAAGCGGTTTGTCACCACTCCTTAAAGCCTCGTTCACTGCTCCCCCTGTCATAATTTCATGGCAGCTCTAAAAGCTGGACAATAAGTCTCAAAGTAGCTTCTTGAGGTGATACGCAGAACAGGAACTGGGATTGTGAATCAATAAGAGGAATATTTCGAACCTGATTTCATTGTTTGCGCTAGCTTTAAGTAAAGCAGCAACGATGGTGCGTCGGATGTTTGCGGCGGGGAAAGAAACTGAATTTTACCTTTGAAGTATATCAAAGTGCGCGGTATCTAGCGCACGAATGTAGTTAATTTACACCTTTTCTTTGTATTGTGTTTGACATCCGCTTTCACAAAGCCATAGTTGATCGTGGTGCTCAAAAGAACAATTATACTACTCCATCAAAATGCCAGACTATAGTTGTAGTCACCGTTCTCGGCGGTTACATCATCAGCGCTATATGAAATAAGTAAACAGGTCGAGTCTCCGTACCATGGGCGGATCTTAATCTTAAGCGCATCTCCTGCTCTCTCCAGTACCCATAAAGTGGGTAACAGGGGACCGTAGTTTTCATTCCCTTCCTGGAAAATATTATAATCATGTTTATTGGTCAAATTACAAAGGTTTCGTATAAATAATGACGGCAGTGTCCAATAAACATAATACAGGATGTAAATGAAATGGATAAAACAAGTCAAAAAGTTCATAAGACCCATGGTCCAAAAGTCAAGAGATTTTTGTCTAAATGACTTTAAGTGCTTTATATCGACCACAATCTTACTAATTTTTATAATCTAATCTAAAAAGTTTTTAAATTTGGTAATTAACAAATAAATGGCATTAAGTTTTTCTAAGCTAGGCCAAAATTTGTGGTCAGTAGGTAAGTTTCAGTAAATTGAATATTTAAAGCACACATGACAACAGCGGGTTGGTCATCATCACTCTTATCGAACCGGCAATCGATCACGAACGGTAACAGTGGTTAGATATCGGGCATCGGACGTGTTGTTTACAATGTTCTCGAATCAAGAGTTCGCCTACATGTTGTTAGTTCACGCTGAAGCTCGTCAGAATTCAAATCTTGCAGCTCAAATTTATCGCATCAGATTTCGCCAACAAGTACACCGAAGGACATTTATTCAATTGTACCAAAGACTTCCAGATACAGGAAGTGTTCAGCCCACTAATATTCGCAGTCGTGAAAGATAGGTTACTGTAGAGCAGGAGGAACAAATTTTAAATATCGTGGAAATCAATGCAGATATCAGCACTCGGGAATTAGGCCGCCGCGTAGGACTATCGCATACCATAGTCCATAGAATCCTACGGGGAAATTTGCTTTATCCCTACCATGTACATCGACTACAGGCCTTGTTACAAGAGGACTATCCTCGCAGACTAACATTCTGTCAGTGGTTTTTGTACAAAAACATTGAAAATCCGGATTTTTCTAAAAACATTCTAGTGACAGACGAATGTACTTTTACGCGAGACGGGGTACTAAATTTCCACTCACACGTGGGCCCAAGAACATCCTCAAACCATTCGTGAACGTCATTCCCAACAACGTTTTAGAATAAGTATTTGGGCGGGTATTCTTGACGATCAGGTATTGGCCCTTTCGAGTTACTCTCAAAGTTGTCAGGAGAAGGATACCTTAGCTTTCTAGCCAATAACCTACCAGAACTTTTGGAACAGACCTTTGACAACATACCATTACAACGGAGACAGAATTTGTGGTTTATTCGTGACGGGGCACCACCACACATTTTTAGAGGCGTCATTCAGTATTTGAATGAACATTATCCAAATCGCTGGATCGGTCGAAATGCTCCTGATCCTCGAAAATGGCCAGCAGGATCTCCTGACCTTCATCCGATGGATTTCTGGTATTGGGGAGAACTTAAAGGGATGGTTTATGGGGCTGGTCCATTAACAACTGAAGCACAACTTAGCGAAAAAGAATTTAATGCGGCTGAAATAATAAATGGACAACTTCGAGGACCTAGAGTAAGAAGAAACTGGGTTCGTCGTAATGAAGCTTGTGTGGAAAGTGGAGGACGACATTTTGAACACCTTCTTTGAATACAAAAAAGGTGCAGTGTGGGTTTTAAAAAGAAAAACAATGTAGGTATGTATCAAAATTGTGTTCCCTATTTATAAGTGGATTTTTTTAATACGTTCAATAACACCAGGTGAGGCGCTGAGACAGTTAGTGGTAAGTCCATTTTTTTTATTTGTTTGCATTTTACGAGTACATTATCAAATAATGAAATAATACCTAAGAGCCAAAAATAACAAACTCCATCTTTATTTACACAGCGTTCCGTCGTAATTTGCGTCTGGTATTGCGGCGTTGTCAGATTTTATTTTACTTTAAAGTCGCTTTTCTCTAAAAAAATGCCGTTTTGACCCCCATGTTATATGAAACTTTTTGCTTCTTTTAACCCCCTCTATCACCCATTTAAATAATGACTATCATAACGTTGACACCCTGTATATCCAAACAAGTGTACACTTGTGCTTGGGTTTTAAAAGAAGTTGAATTATATTAATACAACAGATGTATGAAATGGACATCATTTTATTATCAAATAATAACATATAGGTTTTACATGTCAACAAACTTTGTAGCCCTGGATTATTTAGGATCCATGACTTTAATTCAATTTTTAAACGTTTTTCACATTTTATATGCTTGAAGTTTGGAGGAATAACATTATAAAATTTTGAGCACAGTAAATACAATGAACTTTGGCAGATAGGCTTATTTAGTCTAGCATATCAGTTCATACATAGCAGACTACTAAATTAGTATTCACTGTAAATACCTCAAAATATCGGAGAAAAGCTAAAAATATATAAAACCAGAGGTGTTCAAGTTAAGAGCAGGAAGAGGTACGTCCGTGGACCTGTTGGCGATAGTTTCCAGAGCCGTGGGAGTAATCTTCAGCCATTTACCATATATTCCATTTTGTCATTTGGACATTTCGTCAATAGTGTCAAATCAAATTAAGAAACTAGTCTACAGAGTTTGTAGGGTAATCCGGAAATAGCAGCTGGAATAAGGGAACATGAGTCAGACTGTACGAAAGAAGAATAAAAACATGAAAGATCCTGAAGATGGGGATAATGTAGAAAAATACAGTGATAACAACGAAGAACTGTCGGACGGAAAAGAACGACGGTCTTGCCCAGCCTGTTGTAAACAGGGACGAGTTACCCGAAGCGGATCCACCTCTTCCACATGCGGTGCTCGTTCAGAAACCACTGCTCCTTTACAATCAGATCAGTCTACCCCTACCGACACTCTCACCCTTATACTTAACCAATTATCAACTATGGCCAGTGACATAAAGGATATTAAGAACTCTCAATCTCAACTCAGAACTGATGTTGCTTATTGTAGAAACTTGCTACAGCAACATTCGGACTCGATCTCTCGGCATGATGACTTAATAGCAGCCTGCGAAACCAACATACAAAATATCCAGGTTACTCAAACAGAGCTGTCTTCCAACATTGCTAATATTGAATCGAGACTTGCAAGATCTATGGAGACGATGCACTCAGGCAACGGCGCTTCTTCTACCCCTATTGCCCCAAGCTCCCAAGCTGAGACAATGGAGTTATTTAGACGTTCCCACAATATCATTCTGAGGGGCATAGCTGAAGGGAATGATGACATAAACATAGTATCAGAGATAATTAGGCATATTGAACCATCTGCCGAAAATCACCGACTCAGCATCACTCGCCTTGGCAGAACAACTTCAAGCAATCGTTTAATTAGAGTTGTGTTTTCCTTACCTATTATCGTCAGCAATATTTTGCGGAAGAAAAACTCCATCCTTAGCCACCCCACGCTTCGTCACGTAAAAATCTCTGACGACAAAACCAGAGGTCAAATGCAAGAACTACAACACCTTCGCGAAGAGCTTAGACGTCGTCAAACAACAGGCGAAAGTAATATTACTATAAAATACGTTCGTGGTAAACCTTCTATAGTACACACAGCTACCCAGGAGATCACACCTTCAAAAAACTGATAAATTCTGTGGCAAACTGGACGGTTTGTTACACTAATATACAATCTCTCTTTTCTACGCTACTTGAACTCCAAGCATTTGTTCGAGACAATAATCCAACGTTCGTTTGCCTTACTGAAACATGGCTCCATTCCAACGTGTCCGACTCTTCCATCAATTTGCCTGGATACTATTTATACAGAATGGATCCACCACGCACTCCTGGTTTTGGTGGAGTATGCATTTATGTTCGCACGGAAATCGTGTCGGCTTTCTCGGTATCTCCTTCTTTCAGTACTTTCGATGGCATTGACAATCTATATCTAATCACGGCCCTGTTTGGGAGACACACACCTGTGCAGTCTCGTTTCAGATCTC